GTATAGGAGGGCATAATGGTAATTCGGAGTCCTATTTAGGGAATTAAAATCTTGTAGTCCTATTTAAGGAGTTTAGTTTAGTTTTAATCCTATATAGGACAATTACTAATAAAACTTGTATTAAGCCAAAACTGACACTCCCTCCCTATTTTAATGTTTTTTTATGTTAGCTTTGGACACAATATTTAAGGGAGAATAGTAGGGATAATGAACAACATAGAAAAAGTAGGAGAGAATGTGAAAAAGTAGGAAAAAGAAGATAAAAAGTAGAAAAAGTACGCAATTTATACCGTGGGATCAGCCCACCATGCTCATGGTGTGTCGATCCCAAAACGATACCGTTGTAAGCTTCGTATTAAAAAAAAATTGCAAATCTACGGATCCCCTTCATCTCCTTCGTTGTTTCATCTCCCCGTGGAACTCCTCTGAACTCCTGTGGGCAAATTTAAAGACTTAAAGCTAATTGCTTGTTTTAATATATGTGTGTGTGTGTGTGTATAGGTTCACGTGAGAACTTAATCTTAGGAGAGTAAAAAAGAATTAATATGGACCATTAGATTAGTAACTGTTTTGAGAGATTTATATTTGTACGTATAGGTCTATTATGTCATTTCCTATACTTTACCATGTTTAACCGTAGACACTCTCCGTATAATTCTCACTCCATTAATTAATTCATTAGGTGGTCAATGTCCCTCAATGATTATTTTTAATTCATTAGTTAATACACCGTTGGATTAAAGGTAGATCAGATACTCTCCGTAGTGATCAACCTTTCTTTTATTGTATTATTAGTATTATCATTATTATTATTATTATTATTATTATTATTATTATTATTATTATTATTATTATTATTATTATTATTATTATTATTATTATTATTATTATTATTATTATTATTATTATTATTATTATTATTATTATTATTATTATTATTATATTATATTTATTCTCCTTAACATTTTGATATAACACGTATGGGATTATTTTGCAGATTATATTTTATTTTTATTTCATGCTTCTTAAAATAGTGCACTTTTGTGTATATTTAAAATAGTGCACTTTTTTTATATTTAAAATAGTGCACTCTTGTGTATAAATAAATGTCCATGATAAAAGTGCATTTCATTTTGTTAAAAAGTGCCAATGTAGAATTTCATTAAATGTGATATAATGCACTTTTATTTATTTTAAAATGCACATGAAAATTGACAGTTTACACCAGTGCATATTCATCAGCATTTTTATTTAAATGATTATATATATATATATATAAGTGCACAACTACGAAAAATAAAGTGTATATATATATATATATGTATGTATGTATAAAAGTACTAATTTTTTTTAATATAAAAGTATATATTCTAATGAAGAAGACTCACCTTCATTATATGTTGAAGACGACTGTTGTGAATTATTTTAGACCTTCCTCAATTTACATCTTGCGCACACACCAGTTACATCAAGATTTGCCTAAAGTTACATATCCATAAGCGTGAGTTACATGTCAAATTTTCTCAACAAGTTACATCTCACTTACACGTGATTTACATTTCCTATAATGCGAGTTACACCATAATGTAATGCGAGTTACACAACACAACAAGTCCCTGGTATTCAAAAACAAATTATAAAAAAACATATTTATAGCCTTGATATTAAAAACAAAACATATACACTATTTATTTAAAAAAAATTGGACAATTAGATTTCTTTTTTCATTATTTAAATTGAAATCAATATTTTACTTCTTATACTCTGTTTTTAGATAACTTACATTTCAAATTGACTTAAGTTACATTTTTTTCAATGTAAGTTACATTTCTTTATATACGAGTTACATCAACATGCTGTTACAATTTAAAAAGAAAAGCCTGGAAGCAGTGGGAGCAGGATGCTCATTGTGAGCCGCTCCCACGGTATACCAACTGGTAAAGTAAGAATAATTAAATATTTTTAAAGGAAAAAATTATCAAAAAGGTAAAGTGTATGAAACTTTTAAATATATCACAAAATGGAAAGTGTATGGAACTTTAAAATACAGAGGGAGTATTATATTTCACAAAAGGGGCATGCCCTCGGTGAGACATGAGCATAACAGGTCTATGCTTCGGCACACCTTCACACAATTGCATCAAAATCTAGTTTTCCTCCATTTCTCTTCAACACCTGCAACACATCATTCTGAATCATCAAAGCTGGATATAAAAAAATTGTCAAAAGTCAATCATAGTTAGGCATGGCAATGGGTTAGGGCGGGTATTGCAAGACCCGGACCCGCCCCGTGACTTGGTGGGGCGGGTCCGCCCCGCCCCGTGACCTGCACGGGTCCAAACTTGTTGACCCATGACCCGCCCCATGCGGGGCGGGTCCGCCCCGCCGCAACCTAATTAGCTAGTTTGTATTTTATTTTGTGGGAAGTTGTTACCAATTGAATCTACATAATGTTTATCTCTAAATAATAATTAAAAATCAATATATTAAATCAAATTCATTATACGCTAAAAATTTCAAAAATTAAGGAAAAATTACTCAAAATTGAATAGTTAATCTAATTAGTTATATTAACAATTGAATAAATGTATTAAAATTCTATATATAAAGAAGACATTGATAATCCGCCATCCATCTCATTCTAATATATACTTATTTATATATTATAAGATCAAAGAATTTATGATTTATTGTATACACACATATGTATGTTGAAGTATATTTGTAGTACTCCGTATAAGTTAAGAAAAAATATGTATACTTATATATTGAGCGGGTCGGGTCGGGGCGGGTCGGGTCGGGGCGGGTCGGGTCGGCACGGGTCAATTCTAATACCCGGACCCGTCCCATTGTATAGGCGGGGCGGGGCGGACACGCCCCAAATGTCTCGGGCCAGGGCGGGTCATTGCGAGTCGGGTTTTTTTGACCTCCATAATCATAGTAGCTGGATAAAGTCTAAAGAGAACCCTATACACATGTAGTCTAATTTGCATAACAAGACCATTGACGGTGAATTGTTTATGGGCAAAAATAGTTTCAATCCTTGCTTTCCACATCGAATACACAGTTGCAATACATTGCTAAACGAGCAACCTTACTCATGAGTCTCGCACCCCCATACTCCTTCATGCACAATTTAACTGTACTCAACAACGTAGATGTGTTTTTCTTCATTTTTATCCATTGTCCAACCTCCTTCCACACAACACTAGTAAATGGGCTTTTAAAGAACAAATGCTCATCTGAGTCTATTTGTACTATAAAGAAACAACATGTTTTATCCATGTCAATATACATCAAGTTATCATAGGTAGGTAAACGGTTTCTTAACCCAAGCCACAATATAAAGAAGTACTATTTAGGGGGGGGGGGTTAGTTTTTCCAAATCAGCCGCATCCATGGTTTACTGTGGTCTTTTGTTCTCATAATATCATACACCTTACCGGCATTAATCTTCCCAAGAACAAGGACAGAATTAAAACAGTTTATAACCTCCATTTCCCCCACCAAGAAGAGCACACAGATCATCTCTAATCTTGATAAGCCTTTTCAGAAGCGGGGATACACCAGTCTGATGTGTCCAATCCCAGATGGAGCAGTTCTTTAAGTTCACTCCGTGGAACCATTTAACCCACAAGATGTCCTTCTTCATATAAATATTCCATAGTATTTTTGATAGGAATGCAGAGTTCCCTTTTTTTACAGTCTCTTAGTCCTAATCCTCCTTCTTTAGGTTTGTACACATCTACCCACGCCACATTTGCATTTGGACCACCCCATAAAAAGTGTCTATAGTGACTCACAATTTTTCAATAACGGCACGGGGAATAGGCCGGGAAGACTTGAATTCAATATGACTAAACACCCTGAATCACTGTACGAATTAGTTTCAGTCTACATGCATAACTCAAGTTCTTTGTCTTCCACTTCATAGTGAACTCTTCAATTTTTTTAAGAAAAGGGGAATATTGTGCTACAAATACTCTTAAAGGAGCCAAAGGAACCCCTAAGTACCTAACGGGAAAGTCTCCCATTAGGGCCCCAACCGCAACAGTAATGATTTCTTTCTCAAAATCAGAAACACATGTTAAAAAGATGTTAGATTTAGCACAATTAATAGAGAAGAGGCCAGATGCTTCTTGGAAATCTTCCATACATTTCATAAGGATCTGATTGGATATTAAGTCACCCCTACAATTGAGCATCAAGTCATCAGCGAATATTAAATGAGAGATTTTCAATTGAACACACTTTGGGTGCAATTTGAAATCTGGCATAGAGGTACTGATGAGATATAGTATTCCGGCCTACTACTATTCAGGAGCCCGAGGCATCACCCCGGTACGAAGCCTAGACGGCGAGGCCCATTTAGGCCTAGCCGGCCCATTTCGGCCTACCTGACCCATTTTGGCCCAACTGGCCCTTTTAGGCCCATTGGCCCATGAAAAATAACCCTTACACCCCTCCATCTATAAATAGGATGTCAGGCTTCCATTAGAGGGGATCTTTTGGCTCTTCTTTTCTGGGAGCTAACTTCTCCTCCTCCCCTCTACTACTTCTTCTTCCTCTTTTGTAGATTAGCAAAAAGACTCCATTAATGGGAGCTCCGAGATATTTGTACTATGTAAATGGTGAGGAGAGTATTAATGAGACAGAGAGGACTTGGACATTAGCCTAAAAAGTCTCGTGGTTTTCTCCCTTTCGAATTTCCACTTAAAAACAGAGTATTCGTATATACCTATATCTATATTTACTATTTTATGTTGGATTAAACCCAACAATATATATATATATATATATATATATATATATATGTGAAAGACATTGGAATATGCTGTATAATATGCTTTAGAATATTCTTCTATCTTTAGAATATGCTTTAGAATATTTTAGGAATATACTCTAGGATATTATTATTGTATAGCATCTTATAGGAATATTCTATCTTTGTAATGTATATATATAGGGACTTAACCCTCCAAAGAAATACACAGAAAATTCTTCCATTCTCATTACTATTATATGCTTAATTCTGATAACATGGTATCAGAGCCTACCATTTCAATTTAGCTTCTTCTTCTTTTTTTTGGCTGGTTCCTTTGTATACAGAATATCAGTTTAGTTCAGAATCTCAGTTCAGAACATTGTTTCTCTAAGCAGTTCACAGAACCTCTGTATTCTTTTCAGCTTAGTTTTCCATATCTCAATTTAGTGGTCAGACTGGATTCTTTCCCGAAGAGCTTGAGTTCAGTCCAGAATCTTCAGAACCTCTAGGCACCACTGTCTACAAGAATCTCCAGTACAGGCACTCTAATTACCCTTAAACCAGAACCTCTATCAGAACCTTAGTCCATCTCTGTCAGGTCCATCCATCTTCCCTGGCCAGAGATTTGATCAGAATTTTTCCAGAAGACTCGCCTAAGAAGACTCTACCACCAGGTGGACGGACATCTGTGGACATCCACATCTTCGTCTGGTTGTTCGCGCTGGGGTCTCCCATATCTGTGGAAATTTGCTCGTCTGGTTGTTCGCGCTGGGGTCTCGCTTGGGATGCTTCCTCTCCTTCGCGGATGATTCGCCGTTCGCGTCTGGTTATCTTATTCTCCGCATCAGTCAACGCCAAGCTGGATATCTTAGTCTCCAAGTTTTAAGTCCACAGTCGGGAACCCTACTGTAAGATTTCAGAATATCTCATTTTGTTTTAATATTATTATTGTCTCTTAAAAAAAAAAAAAAAAAAAAAAAAAAAAAAAAGAAAAAAAAAAAGAAAAAAAAAAAGAAAAAAAAAAATGCCTGGTTCTGACACTGACACCTCCGCAGTAACACAAAGTCAGCCTTTGATAGTTTCTGAAGTTATTCCCATTAATTTTAAAATTACTGAGAATAAACTTTGTGGCTCCAATTATCTTGAATGGAGTAAAACTATCAAACGTTATTTAAGGAGCATTGATAAATATACCCACTTAGTTGATGACCCGCCAAAGGAGGAGGTTGATAGAGCTGCTAATACTGCCTGGCTTCGTGACGATTCTAGATTATTTATCCAGATTCAAAACTCAATGGAGAATGAGGTAATGGGGTATATTAGTCATTGCGATACTGTGAAAGAACTGTTTGATTATTTGGAATTTATGTATTCTGGAAAAGGTAATCTTAACCACATCTATGAGGTGTGCAAAGCCTTTTACAGAGCAGAAATGAAAGATAAGCCTCTCACGGGTTATTTTATGGATTTCAAGAAAACCTATGAAGAGCTGAATACATTAATGCCATTTAGTCCTGATATCAAAGTGCAGCAGAAACAAAGAGAACAAATGGCAGTGATGAGTTTTTTGGCTGGTCTCACATCTGAATTTGAAACAGCCAAATCACATATCTTATCTAGTGATGAGGTCTCTTCTCTTCAAGAGTCTTTCACTAGAGTGCTTCGCACCGATACTTCATCCACGCCATTAGCACCTCAGTCAAGCAATGCATTTGTAGGGCAAGTTCCGACATTCACCAGAGGAAGTGAGAAATATCCACGTACTGGCCCATCTGGCAAAGGCGTAGTATGCAACTACTGTAAAAAGCCTGGACACTTGATCAAAGATTGTAGAAAATTAAAATTCAAAAATCAAGGAAATCAGGTTGCTCACATTGCTTCCGCTACACAGTCTTCTGATGGATCAATAAGTATGTCTTCTGAGGAATACGCCAAATTTCTTTGCTACCAAGAGACTCTAAAGCATTCATCTACTCCTATCTCAGCTGTCGCTAATTCAGGTAATCCAAACACATGTCTTGTGTCTTCATCCTCAAAATGGGTTATCGATTCAGGGGCAACAGATCATATGACAGGTAATCCTAGTCTTTTTTCCTCATTCCACACACCTCTTCATACTTCTAGTGTTACTTTGGCTGACGGATCTACATCACCAGTTCTTGGAACGGGTATAATTGTCCCAACACCTACCTTACCTTTGTCACCCGTCCTAAGTCTTCCTAACTTTGCCTTTAATTTGATTTCGATCAGCAAAATCACACGTAATCTTAATTGCTCTGTAACCTTTTTTCCTGGATATTGTGTATTTCAGGATCTGGTGACGAATCGGGTTATTGGTAAAGGATATGAGTCGGCTGGTCTCTATCTCTTGGATACATCCTTACCCAAATCCATCTCTTGTCTTGGAGTTGGAACTGTGTTAGAGGCTCATTATCGACTAGGCCATCCCTCTCTCCCGTTGTTAAAGAAACTTCATCCTCAATTTAATAAGGTGTCATCTTTACAGTGTGATTCATGTCAATTTGCAAAACATCATCGAACTAGTTTAAGTCCCCGAGTCAATAAACGAGCACACGCTCCTTTTGAACTTGTTCATTCTGATGTTTGGGGCGCTTGCCCTGTTGTGTCCAAAACTGGTGTTAAATATTTTGTTACCTTTGTTGATGATTATTCTCGTATGACTTGGATATATTTTATGAAACGTCGTTCTGAGTTATTTTCTCATTTTTGTGCCTTTTGTGCTGAAATTAAAACTCAATTTAATGTACCTGTTCGTATTTTAAGGGGAGACAATGCTCAAGAATATTTATCTTCCTCATTTAAGTTGTATATGGCTCAACATGGCATCATTCATCAAACTTCATGTGTAGATACACCTCCCCAAAATGGAGTTGCTGAACGCAAGAACAGACATCTATTAGAAACTGCGCGGGCTCTTCTATTCCAAATGAATGTGCCTAAACAGTTTTGGGCAGATGCTGTGTCTACAGCATGTTTTTTGATCAATAGAATGCCATCTACTGTCTTGGATGGTAAAACTCCATATCAGTGCCTATTTCCAAATAATGAAAATTTTCCTATCCCTCCTAAAATATTTGGTTGCACTTGTTTTGTACGAGATGTTAATCCCCATTTAACAAAGTTAGATCCCAAGTCATTAAAGTGCATTTTCTTAGGCTACTCTCGAGTTCAAAAGGGTTACAGATGTTTTTGTCCAAGTACGGGTCGATATCTTGTTTCAATTGATGTCTCCTTTCATGAAAATACACCGTTTTCATCAACAGAGACAAATATTTGTAGGGAGAATGATGATGTACTCATTTACACAGTCACTATACCCGAGTCCACTGCTTCAGCCGTTGTTCCACATGTTACTTTTCCTGAGCCTAGTCCCCCGGTACACTTGGTCTACACCCGTCGAAACAAAGTACAAGATCCCCCTCCACCTGTGGTTACTTATCCTGATACTGATCCGGTCTCGATCTCATGTCCTGAACCAATACCTGCATCTCCAGATCCTGCCTCTACATCAGATCTTGACCTCCCTATCGCACTACGTAAAGGTACACGGTCTTGTACTCATCCTATTTCTTCATTTGTGTCGTATAATCAGTTATCATCTGCCTCATGTTCTTTTATTGCTTCCATTGATTCTATTTCTGTTCCCAAATCTGTTAAAGACGCTTTGTCCCATCCTGAATGGCGTCATGCCATGGTAGAGGAAATGAATGCTTTGGATCTTAATGGTACTTGGGATTTGGTAGACTTGCCTACAGGGAAGAAATCTATTGGATGTAAGTGGGTCTTTGCTGTAAAGGTTAACCCCGACGGCTCCGTTGCTCGGTTGAAAGCCCGATTAGTAGCGAAGGGTTATGCTCAAACCTATGGGGTTGATTATTCTGACACTTTTTCTCCTGTTGCTAAATTAACATCTGTCAGGTTACTTATTTCTCTCGCTGCAACTAATGGTTGGCACTTACATCAGCTGGACATTAAAAATGCATTCTTGCACGGTGATCTTCAGGAGGAAGTTTATATTGAGCAACCTCCAGGGTTTGTTGCTCAGGGGGAGTATGGAAAAGTGTGTCGACTTCGCAAGTCTCTTTATGGTTTGAAACAGAGTCCCCGTGCATGGTTCGGGAAATTCAGTCAATCAATTGAACGATTTGGAATGATAAAGAGCAAATCAGATCACTCTGTATTTTACAGACAAACGAAAGCAGGTATCACATTGCTTGTGGTGTATGTCGATGATATTGTGATTACAGGGAGTGATAATGCAGGTATTTTGGCTCTTAAGAATTTTCTTCATAGTCAATTCCAGACGAAAGATTTGGGCTCATTGAAATACTTCTTGGGGATTGAGGTTATACGGAGCAAGAAAGGCATATTTCTATCTCAACGTAAATATGTGCTTGACTTGCTAACTGAAACAGGGAAATTGGGGGCAAAACCGAGCAATACTCCCATGATTCCCAATGTGCAGCTCACTCATGAAGGCGTACCATTCAAAGATCCAGAAAGATATAGAAGGTTGGTTGGAAAGCTTAATTATCTCGCAGTTACCCGTCCAGATATTGCGTACTCAGTGAGTGTAGTAAGTCAATATATGTCATCTCCGACAGTTGATCATTGGAATGCTGTAGAGCATATATTATGTTACTTGAAGGGGACACCAGGACGAGGTATTGTTTATCAAAATCATAATCACATGAGAATAGAATGCTTTGCAGATGCTGATTGGGCTGGATCTAAAGATGATAGAAGATCCACATCTGGCTATTGCGTCTTTGTTGGTGGTAATCTCGTCTCTTGGAAAAGTAAGAAGCAGAATGTGGTTTCTCGTTCGAGTGCTGAATCAGAATATCGGGCTATGGCACAATCGGCATGTGAGATAATCTGGATAAATCATCTATTGAGTGAAATCGGACTGAAGACACCAATGCCTGCTAAACTCTGGTGTGATAACCAGGCTGCTATACACATTGCCAACAACCCAGTGTTTCATGAGAGAACAAAACATATTGAGGTCGATTGTCACTTTGTTCGAGAAAAGATACAACAAGGATTGATCTCTACAGGATATGTGAAGACGGGAGAGCAACTTGGAGACTTGTTCACTAAAGCACTAAATGGAATTCGTGTTGGTTATTTATGTAACAAGTTGGGCATGATAAATATCTATGCTCCAACTTGAGGGGGAGTGTGAAAGACATTGGAATATGCTGTATAATATGCTTTAGAATATTCTTCTATCTTTAGAATATGCTTTAGAATATTTTAGGAATATACTCTAGGATATTATTATTGTATAGCATCTTATAGGAATATTCTATCTTTGTAATGTATATATATAGGGACTTAACCCTCCAAAGAAATACACAGAAAATTCTTCCATTCTCATTACTATTATATGCTTAATTCTGATAACAATATATATATATATATTCCGGAATATGTATTTTCCGGACCAGTTAACTTGCAAAAATCATTTGACGACCTTCCCGATCGAATTTTGAGCTGAAATTTGGTATGCACAAACTAGACTTGACGAGGAACATGCTCAAAAAATTTCATCAAAAAATTCCACCGGGAAGATGCCCAAACGGGCTCGGCCGGACGGGGCAGCCCGTCAGGCCGGCCTGACATGAAGAGCACTCTATATATATATATACTATTTTTATGTTGGATTAAACCCAACATGTACACATGTTTAAGCTTCTTGAAAGATACTCCATTGACAACAAAGAAAGGGTAGGGGACATAGGGTCTCCCTGCCTCAAACCTCTCTTTCCCCTGATAAAACCATGCAACCCTCCAATTATTGAGATTGAGAAAGTGGTAGTACTAATGCATTCTCATATATATAGCCACCTAACAAACAAAGGTGGGGAGGCAAGAGCATCCAACATATCTTTAAGGAACATCCATGAGATTGTATCATAAGCTTTCTTAAAGTCCACCTTAATTAGACATCTCAGAGAAATAAATTTTCGGGTGTAGCCTCTTACCCGTTCTTGTGCCAGAAAGATATTATATGTGATAATGTCAACAATCTTGGGTAAAATAGGGTTCATCCTGGTAGCCAACACCTTTGAAATGGTTTTGTAGATAACGTTTGTGCACGATATTGGTCTAAAATCAGCTGCGGTAGGATTATGGAATTTTTTAGTGATTAGTGCAATGGATGTATGGATTATCTTCTTCAAAAGTTTACCGTGAGCAAAGAACTCCATCAATGCTTTAGTACAATCTTCCCTCCTACCATTTCCCAATTTTGCGTTAAAAAATAGATAAGAACCCATGGGGTCCCGGAGCTTTGTCTTCTCCAATGTAAAAAAGAGCGTCTTTAATCTCTGTTATGGTAACTGGAGCAATCAAACTATCTGCCATAGCTAAATCAATCAACATCCCGTTTCTGATTACATTAACATCAAGAAGTTTGCATGGTTTATGAGTCCCTAGTATGGATTGAAGGTGATTTTAGATTTCCTCTACAACTTCTTCACAAGATGTTGTTAACTAGTCATCGTCTTTTAGAATGGAAGCAATGTAATTCCTGGATGAGTTTCGTTTTGCGATTTAGTACATCCGCCGTCTGCCTCTACTCGATGATTTGTTTTAGCCCTTCGTTGGTAAAATAAGAGTTTAGCTTCAGACAGAAAGTTTGCCTCCTTCATTTTTTTTATGTACCTTCTCTAGTAACATAGGGTTATCAGAATCCAAAAGTCGTAATTATTGGTCTACCTTGAATCTCTCTCTTGCCTCTTTTGCTCTTGATGAAATGTGAGAGAACTCAGCTTAAAATTTTCAGTTTGGAGCATATTTGGTACTGGTAGTACCCTCTACTGCCTTCCCTGGCATACATTTTTGTTTAATATTCCCACCTTGATCAATAGTACCTTGAGTAGATTCACAATAGGAGTAAGCATGCTTCCACTCTGTTTATTCCTGCACTACAAGAAATTAAGTGTTTTTTACCCACACATAAAATAACTACACATAATAAGTGTGGGTAATTAACCACACATAATTTGATTATGTGTAGGGAATTAATAAAGTGATATCGGCTCAATTAGTTACAAAAAATCTGTGTGGCTAAATATATTTCGGCACAATAAAATTTTGGAGGGAAAATTTCATTCTAATTTTTTACTTTAGCGGGAGGCATTTTTTAATGCGAACATCGACGTGGAATTTTAAGTTTTGAAATTACGTACACATCCAATACATATGTTGAAAAATACCCACGTTAGATTCAGTTATCCCGCCCTTACTCCTAACCCTGCCGCTACACCTCACGTTTTCTTTCATTGGGCTCTGACTGCTCCTTCCATTCTACAATCGGCCACTTTAGGATGAAGAAACGAAGCTTTTCTCTTCAATTATTGGCTCTGGAAGACAAAGGTACACATTATTGTGTTTTTCTCTCTTTATACCCGACGGCTCGTTTTCACTCGTTTTATTAAAAAACGAAGCTTTTTTAATCGGCCACTTTTGGGTGATATCGACTCGTTTTTCTCACTTTATAATTACTTACTGCAATCGGCTAATTGAACAATCGGCTGAATTAGTTACAATCGCCTAATTGTTCAATCGGCTATGGCTTCACCTCTTAACTCGTTTTTTTTCTTACAGCTCTGGATCCTCCTTCGTCATTGTACAATCGGCTACTACCGGGTGAAGGAACAAAGCTTTTGTTTTCTAATCCGAGAATTCTAGAAGTAGGCTCCTGCAATTTCTCTTCTGGGCTATGGAAAACAAAGGTATACATTCTTGCAATTTCTTTTTATCTCTATATACTATACTCCGTATATCATATTACTTGAAAAACCTGTCTGGTATAATTAGGTCTGACTTATGTATCTTTTTAAAGTTTTAATTCCATAGTTTAATGTATATCAATTTTCCCATATTTTTTAATTCGACTTCTTGCCTCTTAATTTTGAACTTACTCACATTAGACCTCTTGGTTGATTCAATGCTAAGCCCTTAGTATATTGTGAAATAGGCAGTGGCAGAACTAAGGAGGCGAGCCCGGTGCAGGCGCTCTCATTCCCTAATAATGAATGAATGTATGATGTGTATAGCTTACAGCTCCGGGCATTGTGAGTATGAGAATATATATATATATATATATATATATATATATATATATATATATATATTGCAGCTTGCTAAAGAGTTAAAAAAAACTTTCAGTTGAGGTGTCTGTTCATCTGGAGCTAAATATCATGATAGAGTAGTCTAATGATAGATTAATCATTTAATCTAAGACTTTATAATGTTTAGAACTTTGGATCAACTTTTCTAATCTTAATTACACTGGTTTGAATGTTGTCTGCCTATATTCCCTTGGAAACTACAGACACTAGTTTGAATATTGATTGTCTATATTGTGCTGGTTTGAATATCGACTATCTATCATTATTGAGTTTCCCTTTTCAATGATGTTCATTAGTAGAAGTACATCATGATTAGATAGTAAATGTTATATTCTAATAATAGTTAAAAGATATGTTAACAAGCTATCAGCAGTTGGATATATAATTATCAGTAGTTAGGATATAGCTTGTTAACTTAGCTAGGACCCGAATTAAGTTAAAAACTTAAAATTATAATCAGTAGTTAGGATATAGTTAGGATTTGTACTAACAAACAGGAGTATATATTGATTCCTCCTACATATAACTATACACTAACAAGTTATTGTTTGTAGCATTGTTAAGCAGTTTTGCAGTATCAGTTCTCTTTAGATGAGCAGGTCAATAGTTAAGCAGTTCACTTTGAGTTGTTGTTTTTTTATTAAAAAAAATTATAAATGTCTGTTCAGGAGGAATCAAGAAGCTCAGCTACCAGAGTAATTTATCACATTTTATGTTAGAGATGAAGTGCAATAAAATGTCAAAAGTAATATGCAGCAGTATGGGCAGAAAGGCTATTCATAAAGGCTTTTCTGCATGATTACACTCTTAAACACATAACCTTTAAATAAGTATCTTCAAATATGGTTGGCCTAGATTAACTTGCTTCCTGATTTTCTAACTACCATTTGCAACTACATTAGGTCACATAACCATTAATCATACTTGTTATTCTCTCTGTTATGCAAACATTGTTTGATATTGATTTGAAGAATGCAAATGTCAAAAAGGCTATTGATAGGAAAATGCAAAGGGAAAGCCTCATGAGGGTGTTAGCTAAGTAGATTGGGAATATCTATGTAATTCCTGGAGCAACCCTCTCCATATCTGGTAAGATGTTTTGGACCTAAAGATTCACTGCACTTGATGTATTTAATTTTTTTGAAGAAAACATATTTAAGAATCTTAGAGCTTACTCTAACAGTAAACCTAGTCAATAATAGGAGCTTCTTTTCTTTAGCATGTTTCAGGTTATGGGCTTTGGGAATTGAACTTTATAGAACTTGCAGATGCCTTATGATAGCGAGGTTGAGGTCACAAGTTGTGAGTTCTTATTCTATTAATCCAGCTATATTGGTGTACATCACATGTGACGTAGTGTCAATTAAGTGTAGCTTATAATTAGTTAACACCTTATTTTCATGCTCGTGAGGTTAAAAACTGTGGGCAGTCCAGATTTTGTAAGTAATAACCTTATTTTCCTTGGGTGATGATTTGTGCTACAGGATAAAGCTCTTAAAAATGTTGAGTCACGCAAAGAAAATGGAATTCTAGAAATGGTTCATAAAGTATGGCACGTCATCACATTAGTCATGGATTCAAATTGGATGCTCCCATTGGATATATTGAGACATGGCGCCTCCGTCACTGGCATTCAAAACGTGGTTGAGTTTCTGCGAAAGCGAAATCTAAATAAGTAAGTATATTTTATTTTGGGTGTTACAAAGTTCATTCGAATTTACTTCCTTACTTTATTGACCAAATATACATACATACATATATTGATATATATATATATATATATATATATATATATATATATACACACACACACACACACACACACTTTGAGAATATCTTCCATTAATTAATGAGTTGTTTCTATTTCATTAATAACTTAATAGGAAGAAATGATGCAGTTGAGAAGAAAAAATCACCTGAACAAATGACTGATAAGCAAATTTTAGAGAATGTGCTTGGACGGGAATCCGGTCGTTTGTTTGGTTGGGGACGGTCTCCTTTTGGTGCATAAAAAAGAAGTTAAGATGATTCAAATCTTTCTATGTATAGTGAATTGCTTAATCGTGTTGAAATGATGGGGAAAATGTTGATAGAAGAACATTATTCAGCACATGCCACATGTTTCATCAGATCATTGTTCCGGTGCACTCAATCGCAGCTCATCTTTTATTGGACGAGCTCCACAATATGATGGTTCTGGATTCCACTTCTGAATTTTATGAGAAGAAATTACTTTTACATTAGTCTAAGTATGCATTTTAATGCTTGACTTTGTTAGAATATAAAATTTGACGTTGAAGGATTGATTTTGATTTTGTTGCCAAATTGTGGGCAACTTTGACATTAATGTCGTTCAATTTTAAATTATAACATATTGTATTATTTTATAATTAAATTCATTAGTCATAATGATAAATTGAGAATAACAATTTACCCACGCATAATAACTAGTACCTACACTTAATATTAAATTTTACCTACAAATAAAGGTTGTTTTACCCACACAAAAATTTGGCTCACTTTTATATGGTGGTTTTACCTACACATGTTGATATGTTTACCCACACATAAATGATTCCACGTCAGCATCCACGTAATGCTCCATGTCAATATCCACGTCATACACAGTCACCATGCCATTTGCCACGTCACCAGCCACTAATGCTCCATGTTACAATCCTTGTCATCATGCCGGTATTTTCCCACACATATTGTTAAATTAAGCCCACACATGAATGTGTAGTTAAATATCAAATAATTAGCAACACATAATTTCATGTGTGGGTAATACGTTTTACCTACAGACTTTTACCCACACATACTTACTATATGTGTGGTGACCGGGCTAAACTTGCAAGTGTACAAGTGCCGATATAGTAATAAATTCCGGTAAAATACCGGGTCGAATCCACAAGGAAACATTGTTTAATTTAGTCCGAGAGTAGATGACTTTTAAATAAATAAATGAGTAAAGTGCAGAGATTTTGATTTGTGTTTTGTATTTTTGGCTTTTCACTTTTAATTCAAGGAAACAACTTTAATTAATTCGGGTTTAAAATGAATGATAACAACGGCTAAGGCTTCGGGAATCACTTAAATGCTTTAATAGGGTTGAATATTAGTTCTTTACCAATAATTATGAATACGATGTCGCTAATATATTCTCAACTCCGGTTAAGGCAGCGAGAGCGTGGTTTTCGTTACGTGTAAGTCCCGTTACGGCTTACATTCATCTACCGAAAACCCCGTTGAATATCAAGACATCACACCCGTATCATATAATACCCGATATATTTCTATTCTCGGTAATATATATGTTTATCCTTTAGTGTTCGTAGTTTAGACTTCAACGTTATTTGCAAGCATAAACTAAATTTAACATACTTCTATGTTGTACACCATAGTCATAAACAATCAAAATGTAAAAGATAAATCACAATTTATTGATTTGGAACTTTTATCAAACACCTAATGGGCATAGAAGTTCATCCCTAGCCTTAGCTAAGAACTTAGCTCCTTAAGCTCATATTAATTACAAAAGTGTAACTAAGAACAATGAAATACAATAACATAAAAGAAATAATACCTAGAACCAATTGTAGAGGAGAGAAATGGCTTCTTCTCCAACACTTCAAGAAAATGCAAAAAGGAAATATAAAAATTGAAATTTAATCTTCAAGAATGGAATGATGATCTTGTTTGATGAATTGGGGGCTTTATATAGGCTAAAGATTGACATCTTTTAGTCTATTTAATCCCAACAATCAGGCATGGAAGATATATTTGATAAGATCATAAGGAAAGTGGAGTTTTCCCATCAAAATATGGCTGCACGTCTTTGTGTTTTATGCAGATTCGGGCTTAACCGACGCCGGTTTTACTTCGGGGATGGAATAATAGTGAAAAACACCATAACCGGCGCCGATTATAGGGTAAAACCGGCGCCGGTTATACTTCGGCCGACCGGGAGAATAACAGATTAAATGCAACCGGCGCCGGTTTGGTGAAATTCCGGCTCCAGTTTTGTCCTGGGATTTTGGGGATGTTCCGCTACGAATTTGGACATGAGTCCTTCATCAAAGTTGTAGCTAATGAAGTCTTCTATCCACCAAAACTTGAATGACGTGATTTTATTCAGCCAATCAAACGATATGGATAAAACACTGAGAGGTATGCATCCTGAAATCCCACCAGCAACATCTGACTTTGTTGGTTGATTGAGTCTTGTTCCCTTCATATTTTGTGTTAGAGATATTTTCATGTATTGTGATCAATGTTTTATCTAGCCTCTTGGTAGTATTTATTGTGTATTTAATAGGCCTTAAATGGAAAAGGCTACTAAGCTAAATTAGGAATGGGCCTCCTAAAAAAGAGAGCCCATATCATTGTAAACCCTACCATTCTAAGGAGGCTATAAATAGACCCCTTAGGAATGGCTAGGTTAAGCTTTCCTCTCTCAGAAATATTCCCTGCGCATAGAATAGAGCCTACGGAAGTTTTACGCTAACATTCTCCACCATCTTTGTGTAAACTTTCTAGCTATCAATGGAAAGCTTCTTCTACTCCTATTAATCAGATCTTATACATTATAGAGTAGAAATAGGGACCAACAATTGGTATCAGAGCCGGAGCTGATCGATCGATTGAAGGCTGAAAAAGGCTCTTGCGCGATTCTTCATCGATGAAGTTTTGCATTTGAGCGATCTTCTGTTCTGTTTTTGTTGTCATTTTTGCAGGAAAATGTTTACAGGGAAATGTTTCTAGGCTTGCAAGGATTCACTCTGTGAAAAATCGCACCTTGAAATTTGGCGTACAGGTTAAGCTAGATTTGAGCGATTCTGCATTTTCGCGCAACTCCCAGGAAAGAAGAACAGGTTTAGCGCAAGTAGCCTCCTGCGCGATCTCAAACTTAGCGCAACACTACTTGCGCGATCTGGAACTTGTGCCAACTCCAAAAGCTCGAGCGATCTCAACTTTGCGCAAACTCTCTTGCGCGATTTCAACTTCAGGAAAAACTCCCTTGCGCGATACAACATTTGAGCTATTTCGTCCTTGCGCGATCTAGACTTGCCCGATTTCCAATTTCGCGCAAACTCACTTGAGTGATCTTTTTTAGAAGTTGAGCGATCTTTTGGCAAGTTGAGCGATCTTAAAAAGTTGAGCGATCTTTTGTAAAGTTGAGCGATCTTTTAAGAGTTGAGCGATCTTTTAAAAAGTTGAGCGATCTTTGTAAAAGTTGAGCGATCTTTTGAGAGTTGAGCGATCTTTGTAAAGTTGAGCGATCTTTGTAAAAGTTGAGCGATCTTTTGAGAGTTGAGCGATCTTTGTAAAGTTGAGCGATCTTCTAAAGTTGAGCGATCCTTTTAGGAGTTGAGCAATCTTTGGAAGAGTTGAGCGATCTTTTAAAAGGTTGAGTGATCTTTTACAAAGTTGAGCGATCTCTTACAAGTTGAGCGATCTTTTAGAAGTTGAGCGATCTTTTAGAAGTTGAGCAATCCTTCAAAAGTTGAGCGATCTTTCAAAAGTTGAGCGATCCTTCTACAACTTGAGCGATCTTTTCAACACTTGAGCGATCCTATAATACCTGAGCCAAACACTTGCCCGAAAGCTACACTTGCGCGATTACAGTGCAAGAACCTACTGCTTGAAGTACCAAACAAACAAAACAGGACTTAATCAATCAACTGATCAGCCCGGTCAATTATAAAATGGACGCTTTGTCAATTGAAAAGAAGGAGAAAGACAAAACCTCCACTGCTGAGGAGAAGAAAAGCCCATCTACCATAAACAATGCTGAAGAAGTGACTGCCCTTTCTGCCGAGAGCAAGAATGCAGACAACACTGTAAGCACTTCTAATCCTTCTGTTTGTACATGCTCTAAAACCAACACACACGACAAATTTAAGGAGCTAGAGGAGAAATATGATAGATTGTATGATGTTTATAATAAACTGCGTGAAAAACAGACTTGCTCAAACATCAAAATAATCAATTCAGAGAAAATTATCACTAAGCTCACAACTGAGAATAAACGACTCAGTGCTAGCGAAAAGGAGCTGACAGAGAAGCTTAGGACTACTGAAAAGGAGAGAATTAGACTTTTTGGTGTCAACAATTTACTTATGGAAAGGAGGGGTGCTCTTTACACTAAAATTAAAGAACTTGAAGACCTGTTAGCTAAGAGGGACCAAACAGACCAGACTATTTTCCTTAATCAACCTAAGGACACTCGTTTCTATAATGCCAAGGAGGGCCTGGGATTGACCAATCCTCAAAACCTGAAAAAGGTCAACTGTAGACAACTCTATGATGTTAGATACATGAAAATAGGATTGACCAAACTCATGGCCTTCACTAGAGCCGAAGAAACGAATGCCCTCGAGGATGAAAAGAGAAAGACAAAGGCTGGTGTCGAGGTTCCTTTTGACTACACAGAGTTAAACAAGAGTTACAAAACAAAAGAGCCCCCTTTGACTCCTGCTGATGAAGTTATAACTTATCCTCCTGAAAAGGAAATTGTGCAAGATGAAGAGGAACCTTCAACCTCAGAACCTGTAGTCAAACCAGCATACATTCCACCTCTTGTGAGGAAGTTTGCTGAGTTAAAAGAATCTTTTGAAAAGGAGAAACAAGTTTTAGAAAAGGAAAGAGATCAACTTTTGAAAGAAATATCCTTGTTAAAAACATCCTCTCAGTCCATCACAGTTTCTCAACCCTCTTCCCTCTCTTCCTCAGAAAAATGTTTAGAAAATTCAACCAACAGTTCTAAAACTTCTTCCACTCACTCTGAGCCTCCTTCTCAGACCGGAAACCATGTGAAGAAGAGAGTTGAGAAGAGAGGAGAGTGGATCGAGGAGAAGTTAAGAAGGAGGAAGAAAGAAGAAGAATCTCATCTAGGAAATAAGAATCAACGTTCGAGTGCTTTGTTTTACGTAAAGAATAAGTCTAGATCTGGCATTAGTGAGCTTTCAACCAGTAATACTAGAAGTGGTGTTCCTAGGAATCTCCTAAGCGAACCCTCGACTAGTAATGCTAAAAGAGTAGCTCCTAAGTTTTCTAGTTCTAAGACATCTGTCAAGAATCGCTACTATAGTGCTTGTTCTCTGAATTGTGTCAAGTCAATGAAAATTTGTTGTTTTGAGCCTGCCTCCTCCTCCATTAAAGATAAGAATGTGAATGTTCAGAGATACCCAAAGAAATCAACTGCTGTGAAGGTGAACATTGAGGGAGAGTACAAATTTCCATGTTTAAAGTATCCCCTCAAGATTCACTCACTTAAACATTTGAAAAGACTCTCTCAAGAAACAATTTTAAAAGGTTATCTGTCTGAACATTCACTCATTGTTAATGAAACCTCCCTCGCTCCAAAGTTCAAACAACAATGGCTTCCTAAGGCCGAAGCTGAGAAATTAAGAACGTCAAACTCTTCTCAATCA